AAAACAGCGATTAGAGAAAACCAGCAAAGCTGACCCCCGACTGTCCTGCTGAGTCCTTGGAGGAAAGGTAGGAGGGCTGACTTGGCTGCAGGCGGGAAATGAAGGGGAGAACCTCAGGTCTCCTTCGTGTACAGGGCAGCACCAACCACATGGCGTGCTGGGTGTGCACACGTGTGAGGAGCCTGAAGGGCGTGTGCTCCCTCCTTAGATATGTGAACAACCAGATAGAAAATATAAGCCCACGTCAGTGTTGGGGCAGTCTCATCCCAGAACAATTTAGTTCCTTCAGCATGAGACCCTCCCCCATCACACACAGGTGGCGGGTCCTGGAATGTCCATAGCAGATCTCCATACAGTTCCCACAGAGAGAGCTCAAGAGGGTATGATTTGGTGTTTCTTGAATCTTTCAGGCCTAGAATAAGCCACTTGTGGAGGGCGATCCCAGTGCATTTAACACGTGATGGACATGTGCAGGGTCTTCAGCAAGGCCTCAGGGGCTCTGATCTTTCTCTCCCTCTGAATAGCACGTGGGGTTCTCTTCTCCCACCTTCCTACCCTTGAGTCCTCCCACCAGGGGGCGCTGTGCCTGGTCATTGAGGGCTGTGGATGGGAGTGAACCTGAGGTTCCACAATGGACTTCTAGTTGCATGAGCTGCATGTGTTTCATCAGATCTGAGAGCTGTCAGCTAGAAGCTGCACGATTATGTGCCCATAAAAAGAATTGGTAGTGGCAGTGATGATTTTATCAGAATTGCTACCTAGCCAACAGTGACTGTGAGAGATCCCTGAAGCTGCATCCTGATTTCAGAGATGTGAGGTTTGGGGGTAAAAATGTGCATCTTATAATGGATTAAACAAAGCCCTTGTCTTAAACGTGGCTTTCTTTTTAAATTCACTTTTAATTAAATATTGTGAAGATTATTTACCTGTAAACCTGCCCAACATGCCCCTGAGAAAGCTAAATGTTAGGAAGGACACTAGGGCTTTCTGAGGACCAGGGCCGTGCCTGAGACTCCTGTGCTCTCAGAGGCTGGCGTCACAGCACCTGACAGGCCCCAGGGCCTCTGACAAGCTGCCTTCGGAGTGACGTGTGCACAAGCCTCTCCGGGTGGCATTCACCACTTCAAGTCCTGGTGTGTCACTCAGGATGCAAAGGTGAAGCGTGCACACGCATGCCCCCTGTGTGGGGACTGATGCTTGCATTCCCAGTCTGTACAGCAGGTGAATGCTCTCGTGCAGGTAGATGATCATGAAGCTTACTAACATTTGTTTTATCTAGGTGGGTTGTGTTGCCTCAGGATTTCATACGGCTCCTTAAATGTTGTGACATTTATCACCTCAACTTGCGTTACATTGACTTAATGAATATAATCAGCCTAATTGAGTTAGCAACCCTTTCAGAGAAAGAAAAGCTTGACTGATCCAAACTGTGGTTGGGCTCCATGAATGAGCAGGTCAGTGTAAATATTAGTAACGGCAGCCGTGCAGTGGTGCTTCCTGGGCTCAGCACCTTTAGGTAGTGCACCTGCTTTATCTACCGCCTTTAGGTCTAACTGCCGGGGGAGGTAGGCACGACTCCTATCCCCTTTCCAGAGCTGGGAAAGTGAGGTTTGACAGGGTTAAGCACTGGCCCAGAGAATAAGTGGTGGAGCTGGGATCCGAACCCAGGTCTGGTGGATTACGGGGCTTGAACTTTACCCGCTGTGAGCACTGCTTGCACTTCAAGCTGCTTTGGTCCCTGAAGATGCTGAACCAGCCTGAGCCTCTGCGTTGAGTAGTCAGTCCTTATCCTGTGCTGTGAGCTTTGTCCAGCAGGTGACGCTATGGGGAAAGAAGTAACCCAGATTCCTATGGACTTGAACCCTCAATCAGAAATCATTGGGTACATTAGTTATGTTCATGTACATGTACATGGCATGCTCAGAAAGTTAGACCAATTGTCTGCTCTGATAAGACTACAAATTAAAGGCCATGAAGGGCAGGTTTAGAGGAGAGGATGTGTAGGGATCTAAACAGGAATATTTTTTCAAAATATATTTTTTATTGATTTCAGAGATGAAGGAAGAGGGAGGGAGGAGAGAGGGAGGGAGGGAGGGAGGTAGATAGATAGAGAGAGAAACATCAATAATGAGAAAGAACTATTGATTGGCTGCCTCCTGCACTCCCCATACTGGGGTTTGAGATGCATCCCAGGCATTTGCCTGTGGCTGAAATCATACCTGGGACCCTTTAGTCCACAGGCCTACACTCTGTCAACAAAGCGAAACTAGCTAGGGCTAAACAGGAATAATTCTTTATGTTGAGAGTGTTTTGGCATCAAAAAGAGGTAGAGCCCTATATGCTTTGGCAGAGGCAGTTATTTTCAAACTTATCCTCTATAAAAAGTCATGTTAGATGTATAAGAATTATTGGTGAGCCCTGGCTGGTTTTGGCTCAGTGGTTAGTGTGCCGACCCACGAAAAAAAGGGGCACAGGTTTGATTCCTGCTCAAGGGCATGTACGTTGGTTGCAGGTTTATCCCAGGCCCCAGTTGGGATTCATGGGAGAAGCAACCAGTGGATGTGTCTCTCTCACATGGAGCTCTCTCTCTCTTTCTGTCTTTTTCTCTTTCTCTCATTCCCTCCTCCTGCCCCTTCCACATTCTCTCTAAAGATCAATGGAAAAAATACCCTCCAGTGAGGATTTAAGAAAAGTTACTAGTGAATAGTGGAGGTAGACAATTTTACTACAGAAACATACCATTAAGCGTTCCAAGCTCTTGGAACAGGAGCAGGAGTTATTGGGTCTAGTAATAATTAATGTCGTTTTTAAACATTCATTTAAAATCTTGCTTGGCATTGACTTGTATTGACATAACCTTCAAACACGTGGTATCTACAGAACGTGTGAAGTGCAATTAACAAGTTTTGCTTGAAAAAGTTTGTGTTTGGTTTGGTTTTTGTTGCAAAACTAGGGCTAAGAAGATGGCGGATGAAGAGCATATTCGGCACTGCATGCTTTACGAGTTCCAATTAGGAAGAAAAGCAAGTGAGGCTGCAAAAAACATCTGTAGTGCTCTTGGTCAAGATGCAGTTAGTGCCAGAAAATGCCAGCGTTGGTTTGAGAAATTTCACGAGGGAAATTTTTCGTTAGATGACAAGAGTGGTCGAGGCCGTGTGTCCAATTTTGATCAAGAAGCTCTTCAAGCTCTTTTGGTGCAAAATCCTCAAATTACCCAACAAGAGCTTGCGACAACTTTAAATTGTTCACAAAAAACAATTTCCAATCAATTGCGTGCACTTGGCAAAGTCCAAAAGTTTGGAAAATGGGTTCCTCATGAGTTGACCGGCAACAACCGTAATCAAAGAGTCACAATTTGCAGTTCGCTCCTCTCTCGTCAAAACCGTTTGCCGTTTTTAGAGCAAATTGTTACCGGAGATGAAGAATGGGTGCTGTATGTTAATTTGAAAAGGCGACCTCAATGGTTGGACAAAAATGAGGCTCCTCAGCCCATGCCAAAACCTGACTTGCATGCGAAAAAAGTGATGTTGTGTGTTTGGTGGAATTTTAAAGGAATTCTTCATTATGAACTTTTACCATCTACCCAAACCATTACAAGTGCAGTGTATAGTGCCCAATTGGAAAGGTTAGCCCAAGCTTAAAGAGAAAAAGAACCCGCGCTGATTAATCGGAAGGGTGTAATTCTTCACCACGATAACGCATGACCGCATACTGCAAGAATCACTGCTGAAAAAACTGCGCCAGTTGGAATGGGAAGTTCTCCCTCAACCTGCATATTCTCCTGATATTGCCCCTTCCGATTACCATTTGTTTCGTTCTTTGCAAAACTTTCTTCTTGGAAAAAAATTTAATAATGAAGAATGCCTCAAAAATGCATTGACCGAATTTTTTGCATCAAAATCACAAGAATTTTACAACAGAGGGATTAAAATGCTTCCTGAGCGTTGGGCACAAGTAGTAGAAAACAATGGCAACTATATTGTTGATTAAATTTTGTTGTATTGTTTAAATAAATTCGATTTAAAAAGGTATTAGAAAACGACATTAAGTATTACTAGACCTAATAGTTGTGTGTGAGCCAAGGTGTCAGGGATTAAAATGGATGAGGAAGCCCAGCTGGTGTGGCTCAGTTGGCTGAGCATCATCCCATGAACCGGGAGGTCACGGTTCGATTCCTGGTCAGGGCACGTGCCTCAGTTGTGGCTCAAACCAGAGGCAGCCAATCCATGATAGAAACATCATTGATTTTTCTTTTTCTCTCTCCCTTTTCCTGCCTCTCTCTGAAATAAATGAAAACATATTTTTTAAAAAGGATGAGAGAGAAAAGCCAAGTCATAAGTTAACAAATATCTTATTTAATAATCTAACACATTGAAACTGAAAAATGGTCTAACACATTAGCTCCTAGAGCAATATAGACCTCTCCTCACATGCCAAGTAAAGCGTTGGCACAAGGTGCCACTGAGTTAACTAAACGGTGGTGGAGCCTAATTGATTCACCGAGTCCTGATTCTGGTTGAGCCGAGGGTACTGTTTCCATCTCTCCTGGGCTGGGCAGGACTCTGATTCCCAAGTACCTTTATCCACTGTAGCGTCATTTGTTAATATTCAGTTCATTTATTGGCTGTTTTGTGTTGTTTTCTTTTTTCCTTCTTCTCTTGGTTATCTGGGGATAACCCTTTAGCTGCTCTACCCAAAAAGAACAAAAAGAAAAAAAAGGACAAGTCACCAGCGCCTGCCCGGCTTTGCTGAAGCGCCTTCAGTTCTGGTCATCCTTGGACACCCTACCCCCTTCCAAATAGGCTCTCCCTCTTCCAAACACTACATTTTTGTCCGTTCCCTTTACCAGTTCCTCACCAAATACCCTCCCTCACTTATCAAACAAAACAAATAAAAAAAATAAAAAATAAATAAAAAATACAACCCATAAAAGACCACCAGTGACCTGTAGCGAAAAGGCAAAGGACCCGTAGTGGCCCCCTCCTCCTCCCAACACCAAAGAAGCTCCGGAGCCTTCAAACTACCAACGTGCCCTCGAGGACAACGGCCTCCTCTCCTGTCGGCCTGCGGAGCCTGGAGCGGCTGTAGGAGAGGAACGAGGTTCCCGGGCTGCTTCAATTTGTCCGTTAGTGACAACGCTGCGCCAGCCCTAAGGGTCACACACCACATGTGGGACTCTGTCTGATCCTCCAGCCACTGCTGTCTTTGGAACAAATCCACTGTGGCCTGGGGACGCTCACAATGCAATGGCAAACCGACTTCCCAGAGGCAGACACTATGTGAGCGGGCCCCTTAGAACACGTGTTAGCTACATCACCTCCATTAAAGCGTGCGTGTGCGTGTGCGGGTGAGCGGATACACACATGCACGCACTCTCTCAGGGCTGGGCCCTCGTGGTCCGGAAACTCAACTCCCTTTCCCAGAAGCCTGGTGGTCCCAGGGGAAGCCCAGACCAGCCAGACTACAAAGACGTTGAGTCCTCGGTGGACCCTGGAGTCAGGCTCACTGTTAACCCAGAGCGTGGCCAAGCCCGGCCCGGGCCCCACGTCCTGCAGGCCAGGGTGGGCTTCCAGGCAGGTGGCCTCAGGCTTTGCCTCTGTCCAGCTGGCTCCTGGGGCCACACGGGGACCTGCCTCCCCTGCTCACTTTTCTGTAAACACTGGGTCTGCCCGGCCTGGGTGACGGGGCAGAGAGAAACCCTGCCCGCCCCTCCCAGGAAGTGGTCAGAGTGTGCAGAGGGGAGCGTGTGCGAGAGGCAGGGGCAGCCTGATTTGGAAATGGCTGCAGCGCCCCAGTGTCCCAATGGAGATGAGACTCTGATTTATTGTTTCTGAGGGACTTCCCGGGGTTGAAACCACATTTAATATACTACATTCAGGTGTTCACCCTCATGAAATATATGTGCTTTGAGGTGTCCCCCCAAATGTAAGCACACTTTGATGCTGATAACTCATTTTTCACTCCATTTCAGGGTTAGCGGATTTGACGTAATGGGTGAAGCCAGACTAAGTTTTGAGCAGAGAAGATGTATCCTCTGGACTGTCTTTTGGGGACACATAAAGATGAGGTGTCTGGGCCACAGTCAGGCGTGGCGGCCGCTGTGGACAGAGGAGGCGCCCAAACAGAAGCAGCGGATCTCGGTGTTTGCGGTTCCATTGCTTCCTCAGCAGCAGCGCCAGGACTGAGGTGAACGATGGAGGCGCAAACAACAAGAATTGTCCCTTCGGTTTGGGGTGTACATCTCTCTCTCCACAGCTGCCCTGGACTCCTCAATCGTTGTCGGTCGTTTACCGTACCTTTATCTTTTATGGATCCCCATAGAAAGCCGAGTGGGGAAATTTTCTTCGCTCAAAGCCTAGACCTTCTTCAGCCATTTCTTCAAATCAGTGAGACTTGAAAAGGGGTGGAAATTCAGTGAGTTGTCAGCTGTTAAAGTGTGTGCACATTTTTTGGAACACTGCATTTTCCATTGGGAGTCATTCCCTTTCACCAGAGTCACACCTGAGTGTGTGTGTGTGTGTGTGTGTGTATGTATATATATATATATATATATATATATATATATATATATATATATATATTTTTTTTTTTTTTTTTTTTTTTTTCGGGAGGTAGGGGGGACACACACACCCTATATTTATGTTCAAAAGGCAGTCATTCTCTTCCTTCGGATTGATATTATTTCTTCTCACAGCACATTTTTTGGACCACCCTATGTTCACATTTCATAGGGAGTTATCCATGTTTGTCGGGAGTCTGACCTCTGTGTACCTTACTTGGGGGACACTCCATGTTCATGTTCTATAGGGAGTCATTGGTTTGCATCGGGAGTCTCACCTGCTGTGTGTGTTTGGCCGGTTCCTGACACACTTTGTTTCCCTTGTTACAAAGGTGCTCATCATGGGATGTATTACACCTGGAGATTGGGGTTTTCTAAAGATTTTCTCCGTTTGAGCTAAAGTACTGAGAAATGTTAACATGGTCAGTTATCAAAGTACTGTGAGTTGTCAGTTCAGTAGCCGTTGATTCTGTAACACTAGGACAGGTTTGTAATAAAATGAGATGTAGAATTGAGTCCTAGTTTTTCTCACTGCTTGTTACTGGCGGTGTTTTTGGGGTGTAGGGTCTTCGGGCTCCCTCCATCAGCCCCCCAGTCTCCCAGCCCCCGGAATCCACCAGCTCCCTTTGCCAGAGGTCAGAGCATGGGAAGTGAGGCTTCCCGTTTACCAGGCAACAGCGTTTATTTTACGCTCCTGTCAGTTGAATCCCATTTGGATTTGGGATTTATCTCGCAACAGGCCGCCTGCCCTGCGCCTTTGGCTTTTGCAGGATCTGACACTGGCCAGTCACCCCTCAGAGCTCTCAGCCTCTGTCCCCTGGCTCTCTCCCAGCTGGGACAGCCCTTCAGGGCTCACACTTGCCATTCGCTCTCTCACTCACTCATTCCCTCCACAAACACTCAGTGACCGCTCCTGTGTGCTCACTCCCGGGTTCCACCATGGAGGCAGCGCCCTCCAGGCCCCTCTGTAGGGCTGACCACCTGCTCCCCTAGCACTGACCACTCCTGAGCTTCAGGCCTGAGGTCAGCTGCCTTAGATCTTCTACCCGGGCTGCAGGCTTCCTCCACTCCTGGCTCCTCTGGGCTCCCTACTTATCCAAGCACACCAGCTGTCAATCACAGAAGCCCAAAGCCTGTGGTGCGGGGGGGGGGGGGGGGGGGGGGGGACCCCTCCTCTTTCCACTTCCCACAGGTGGTAGGTCCCCTGAACCTGGGAATAGGCATGGAATCTGTCCGCCCATCTCAGCTGACTGTTCTCATCCCATGTCCCCCCGACACCCCTGTCCCTGGGTTGTGGCAGGAGCTTGTCAACTGGTCTGCCTGCCTCCCGCGACTCCTCAGCCCCATGGCGCCTCTCAGCATTCACCCTGGTGACCTTCCTTTTTGAACCTCCCCTCCCTCAGTCTCCACCCTAGCTACACATTTCTTTGTCGTCTAGCTTCTCCGTGGGTCACTTCAGGGTGCACCCAACCCTCTATCACCCCCCCTCCAGCTCCAGACAAGCTCGTACACACCCACAACTTTCACTGCAATCTTCCCAGAAGGCTCCACGCACCTGCAGCCCCAGCCTCTCCTGGGAGCCTCCAGACCTGTTTCCAGCGTGGATGTCCCAAGACACCTCCCACTTAGAATGCTCAGCACACGGTTCTCCATCCTCCCCACCAAAGCTTCTGTGCGCCTCCTCTCCCACCTCTGTCCCCTCAGCCAGACCATGTTGGGCATCCCCCTCTTCTCCCCATGTCCTGTCCATCACTCCCTCAGCTGCTTCCCACTCTGATGTCTCGCTCACATACCCAGCCAACCCCAGGTGGGGCCCCCCCCTGGACAGCACCATGGGATCCCATCCTGAGGGGGCGTCCCAAACCATGCCCTGCTGAGCTCCAGGGCCCCACCTCTGCCCTGCCTGGGCGCTGTGCGATGTGGGGGGAGGGGAACCTCCAAGTGCCCGCTGAGGGCTGAGGGCTGCGGGCTGAGGGCTGCCTGCAGAGAGGGTGGGGTCACCTGTGGCACCAGAGGGGCTCTCCCTGGGAGAACAACAAAGTGAGAGCATTAGAGAACGTGCGACAGACCTTGGGAAGGAAGCATCAGCCAAATACCAACCAGCCAGAGGAAGAATGTTTACATGTATGCACTCACATACACATGTATGTATACATGTATGTACACAGCCCATCAATTTCCTTAGAAAGCTGTCATTGATTTTGCTAAACGGGTGTATTTAGAGCCCACCTATGCTTGCCCTTGACTGACAGATGACTGTGGTTCCAATGTGAATGTTGGATGATATTTTATGTTGGCAAGTAAAAGAAGCTGAAGGTGTGAGTGAGAACCTCACTCAATTAGGCAGTCCTTTTCTGAGTGGCAGCCTAAGTCCCTCAGTTTCTCATAATGTATTTGTATTGTAATGTCTACACACATTGTTTTTTAAAAAACAGAAATACAATGTACATATCACAATATTCACCCAAGACATACTTTTAAGTTTAATCTTTTAACGTTTTCTCCATCACTCTTGTATCTAGAGAGATTAGACACTAAAGAAAACAAATCAAGCCCTGGTGTGGTAAGACTTGCCAATTTCCTTGGTGTAAATATTTTCACTACAGCTGATTTCAAGCTGCCAACCTGGATCCCTCACCACCAAGATGGGAATAGACATGCGGTGCCACCTGTTCTACAATATCACCTCCTTGCAGGCACAGCAGGTATGAATAACCCAAGAGCATAGGTAACAGGAAAACAATTACAAGTGGCACGTTGGTGGTATTTATTAAGTTTATTTTAAAATGTGTTTTACTGATTGTAGAAAGAGGAATCGGGAAAGAGATCAATGTGGGAGAGAAACTGATCGGTTGCCTTCAGAACACACCCCCACCAGGAACCAAACCCACACCCTGGGCTTGTGCCCTGACTGAGAATGGAACTGGTGACCTTTTGGTACACAGGACAATGCCCAACCCACTGAGCGACACCGACCAGGGTATTGCCTTTGTTTTTAACATGAATTATTTAATCACGGGTTCACATAAGTTTATTGATAGTCACGGCTGTGTTTAAAACCTGGCGTGTGAAGTTCCTGGAAACACTGACCAGTCGGCTCACACGCTGGCTCCAGCTCAGCAAGGGGGCACTGCCTTGTAGGGTGGCTGAAAGGAAGGGGCCTGTGTGAGCCCTCTGCCAGCGCATACATTGGACCCAAGCTAGGCGCTGCTCAGGACCATGGTCAGAAGGATGGAAGTAGAGATGGGGCACTCAGATACAAACTGTCCAAGGTCTGGAGAGGTCATGTGATGGGCTTGGGGTCATGCAAGTCAGTGCCAGGCCCAGGACCTGCTGTGCAATAGAGCCACCACCAGGCCACCTGCAGCAACTCCACCCCCATTGGCAATGGCAGCTGCTGACATCAACTTGGCCTCCATCTTTAAGGAGGCGGGGATTCCGAGCTGGTGAAGCTCATGGCGCCCAGCACCAAGGGCGTAGTGCCAAGGCCAACACATGGGGGAAGAAGCCTTTGAGCTTGGCCCTATGGAACAGGCCCCTTCAGATCTCCATGTCATCTTCCTGGGGCATGAACTTGGGGTCTGCTTTATTCTTGTGAGAGTCACAGAACAGGGACAGGGACCCAATACAAAGAAAGATTTTAGGTATGAACACAAGCTAGTGGAATGGATGAATTCCACTATAAAAATAGTTAAACCTATTTTTTTTTTGTCAGATTGGCAAAAACCATATTTTTTGGTGTGCCTCAGCATTTTAGTAACTCGTGTATGTGTTCATAAGATGAAAAAGGCTGTTCTAGAGTCAGGATGGAGCCAGACCCTGAGTCCTGGGAGGGGAGAAGAGGGGGTGGATAATGCCTGAGGCTGCAGGGCTTGATAGCGAGTCAGTGGCTCAAACTGTGAGCCCAGAGCCAGGTCATCCTACCACACTGGCTCTGGCTGAGATGTTCGAAGACACTTGGTCCAGGTCCCCATCTGAAGAGCAGCAAGCTGAGGCTCAGAGGGGAGACCTGACCTCAGGCTCACACGTGAGTGACAGTACTGACCTGGCTTCCAGGGGCAGAGGTATTGGTTCCTACAGAGTTCCCGCTAGCTCGCCCTGCCCTGCCCTGTCCACAAGGACGGAGCACGGCACCAGAGAACCTGAAAGCATCTCCTCTTTTTTTCTTTCCTTTTATTTTTTAAAATATATTTTATTAATTTTTTTACAGAGAGGATGGGAGAGGGATGGAGAGTTAGAAACATCGATGAGAGAAGCATTGATCAGCTGCCTCCTGCACTCTCCCTACTGGGGAGGTGCCCCAGTCAAGGTACATGCTCTTGACTGGAATTGAACCTGGGACCCTTGAGTCCAAAGGCTGATGCTCTAGCCACTGAACCAAACCTGCCAGCGCTTCTCTTTCTTATCCTCATCCGAATTATTCTTGAAGGGACGCCACATCCAGGCCCCAATAGATGACCCAGTGGCACCCAGGAGGATTTTGGATGACAAGGAGAGTCCAGCTGCCCCTGGGGAAGAAGAGAGGGTGAAACCACAGGGGCACAGGGTGCCCTAGCAGCCCCTGGCAAGGGCGGAGGTCAAAGATCCCAGGGAACCTCAGGCAGCCAGAGGCCCCAGCATCCCACTCCTGCTACCTCCTACTTCCTAAAACCTTAGGATGTCTGCTCTGGGGAGCAGCTGCCCAAAGAGGAGGCATGAACTCGGGTGAAGAGTCCCCCAGTGACAGGGCAGATCTTGTGAGAAATGGCAGGCACCTCACCTTTCAGACGAGGCTGGGGTCTAGAACTGGGGAATGGGGGTGTTCTCAGGTTTTGTAGGGTTGACTGGAAAAGCATACCTGCTGGACTGTACCCGTGCACCCCCCTCCCCAAACCTAAAGTGGGACAGCAGAGGGGAGACAAAGGACCAGGGACTGAGGACAACACAACTGGAGGGAAAGGATAGGCCTTCCTTCAAGCTTAGGCTCTGGGCTGAATCCCATCCTGGCTCTGTTCCTCCCCTTCATCCCTCCCTCCTCCTGCTCAGGACACCTACCTACTGACTGCAGAGTGGCCACCAGGCTGCCGGCAGCAACTCCGCCCCCATTGGCAATGGCAGCTGATGACATCATATTGGCAGCTATGGAGGAGGCAGCGATGCCTGAGCTGGTGAAGCCTATGGCGCCCAGCACCACGGGCACAGCACCCACGGCCACCACTGTGGGGGAAAAAGCATTTGAGGTTGACCCCCATGGGACAGGCTCCTTCAGGTCTCCCTGTCATCTTCCTGGGGCATGAACTTGGGGTCTGCTGTGCCCTGTGAGAGTCACAGGGCAGGGTCAGGCACCCAAACACAAGGGAAGGCTGTAGGTGTCACAGAAGCGAGTCACTGGGTCCCAGGACTCTGCAGGTCTCTGTGTTGCTGTGACACCTGGGAGGCTCACAGCCGTCCTGGCCCGAGCTGCCCTTGTGGGAACTATTGTAAATCAGTTGAAACAAGCAGTGGCCTTCAAGCTTCCCCTTTGGTAGGAAAACTCCCCTCCCCCCCAAGCACAGGGTCAGCAGCAGATGACATCAGTGCTGCTCTTCTGCAGAGGTGATGGGGTGGGGGCTCCTGCTCTCTGCTCTCAGGGCCTGTAGCAGTGTGTGTGGGGCTGCCTCCGCATCTTACATCTCCAGAGCAGTCCAGTCACAGAACATTCAACAAAGAAAATGTTATGGCCAAAACTGGTTTGGCTCAGTGGATAGAGCGTTGGCCTGTGGACTGAAAGGTTCCGGGTTCGATTCCGGTCAAGGGCATGTACCTTGGTTGCGGGCACGTCCCCAGTAGCAGGTGTTCAGGGGGCAGCTGATCGATGATTCTCTCTCATCAATGTTTCTAACTCTCTATCCCTCTCTCTTCTACTCTGTAAAAAATCAATAAAATATATTAAAAAAATAAAATATATTTTAAAAAAATTAAAGAAAATGTTCTGTACCTGCTCCATCCAATACTGTAGTCACATGGCTTTTGAGCATCGAGGTGTGGCTAGTGTGACAGAAACATTTCATTTGAATTCTGGCCCCTGTATTGGAGGACCCTGCTCAGGAGCGCAGCTAACCCCTGGGCTCACTGGAGGACCTGTCAGGGCGCCCAGAGCAGCTCCGGGGAACCAGACACAGCTCCGCTCCCACATTCCCCACAGCCCTGCCCTCTGGGAGGAAGCCTGGGCTCAGGCAGATGGAAGGGCCACAGGTAAACACCAGCAGAAGCTGAGCTGGGACTGGGGTGTGTTCATGGCTTTGCTTTAGTTCCTGTGCTCTAAGGTTTACCTCTGCTACTTCACCTCTGTCCCCTGCCCACTCCCCCTGTCCCACCCGTATCCTGGGGCTCCAGGGAATCCTTGGCTGGGTCACCGGAGGTTGCTCCCAGAAGCCCAGAGCCAGATGGGGGCTTGACCTCCTTCCCAGAGAGACTCACCTCCTCCGAGCACGGCTAGACCAACCTTGCCTGGACACAAAGAGAATGCATGTGAGTGTGACACGCTGGCCTCCCCGCCCTTCCCGCTGCCACCCACAGTGGGGAGGCGGCTCTGGAGCCGGGATCAGAGGACAGAGCAGCTCCTGCCTGAGGTCAGAGTTACTGAGCATGTGGACAGGGGAAGCCCACAGCGCTGAGGCATTCCAGATGGGGAAGGGCAACAGCTTGAAAAGACTCCAAGTGCTCTTGGAGGGGACACAATATAACCCCCATCGCTGCCCCTCATTCGTCCCATGTCCTCTGTGCCCTCCTCACCCAAGTGGATTCTATATCAGCCCATCACATGTGCCCCTTGAAGACCATTGACTCTCTCCCATACTCTTCCTCTTTTGTGCTGCAACCTACCAAGTTTCCTGTTCTCTTCACTCCCCCCACTCTGAGAACTCCCAGCATTTACAACTTCTCCCCAATCTTCAAACCTGCACCTCCACCCTCCTGGTTCTCTACTTCCTATTTAACTCAGAAAAGGAAGGCAACCAGGAGAAACAACTGGGGTGATGCAGCCAGGATTTCTGGCAGCCACCAGAAGTGAGAAGAGGCATGGGACAGGTCCTCCCCTGGAGCCTTCAGAAGAAGCATGGCCCCGTGGACACCTTGATTCGGGACTTCCAATCCCCAGAACTGTAGGAGAGTACATTTCTGTTGTTTAAAGCCACTCAGTGTGTTTAGGATTGGTTAGGAGCATTTCCTCACCTGGCCTTCAGGAACCGTCCTTTCTCACTTCTCTTCCTACCACACCTGCCTCTGCTCAGTCTCCTCCCCTCTCCCTGATCTCTGAAGGTGGCATGTCCAGGGCTCTGTCCTCAGACCCCTCCTCTGCTTTAACTCCACCTCTTGGGTGCCTCACCCAGTCCATGATTTTCAGGACAACTGCATTCTGATGACACACAAATTGATAAGTCCAGCCCAGACCTATTCCCACAGCCCTCACGATTGGGATTACATAGTTCCCTTACAGAAGAAGCCCCAGAGAGCCCCTTCATTCCTTCCTCCATGTGAATTTACAGCTAAAAGTGGTTGTCTAGGAAGCGGGCTCTCACCAAACTTATCTGCCAGGGCCTTCATCTTGGACATTCCACCCTTCAGAACTGTGAGAACTAAGCTGTGTTGCTGATGAGCCCACAGTCTAGGGCATTTTGTTACAGCAGCCTTAAGTGACTATGACAGCACACAATCAATGAGTGGAAAGGAAATCTACAGAATGGGAGGAAATATTTCCAAACCATATATTTGATGAGTTAATATTCAGAATATATAATGAATTCCCATGAAAACAAACTACACAAATAACCCAATTAAAAAAACAAACAAAAAAAAAACAGGCAAAGCTGAAGCCAGTTTGGCTCAGCGGTAGAGCGTCGGTCTGCGGACTGAAAGGTCCCAGGTTCAATTCCGGTCAAGGGCATGTACTTTGGTTGTGGGCACAACCCCGGTGGGGTGTGTGCAAGAGGCAGCTGGTCGACGTTTCTAGCTCTCTCTCTCTCCTTAAAAAATCAATAAAATAAATTAAAAACAAACAAACAAACAAAAAAAAACAGGCAAAGAGTCCAGCAGGGTGGCTCAGCTGGTTGAGTGTCCTCCTGTACACCAACCTGCGGGTTTGATTCTGGGTCAGGGCATGTACCTAGATTTTGGGTTTGATCCCCAGTTGGGCACGTATGAGAGGCCTTTAGGAAGTGGCTATAGGATTAAGCCTCAGATTGATCTGTTGCAAAGTCACAAACAAGTCCCAGTTTAGGGGGCAGAGCTCTCCTAGCATAATTAAGCTTGACCTTATAGCTTCCCTAGATCCTTCCCAGGTAGCTAACGGGAACACTGTAACTATTTCGACCACTTGCTTGTTTTTCTCTGACTATAAAGTAAAGCCTCATCTTGCCGGTTGGATCTTTTCTGTGTCCTCATCCATGCATGGGAGATCCATGGAGCCCCAGCTATATTCTCTTTGTCTTTTCTTTAATCCTTCCTCCCAGCTCCTCAGGTTCAACCTTGACCGTGCTGACACGGCACAGAGGCCACCAATCGCTGTTTCCCTCACCTATGGAGAACAGTATGGAGGCTCCTCAAACAATTAAATTAGAGTTCCATATGATCAGCAGTCCCACCTCTGAGTACTTGCCTAAGGACCTAAAAATGGAGTCTAGAAGAGATACCTGCACCCCGTGTTCATAGCAGCATTATTTACAATGGCCACGAGGTGAAAGCAATCCAAACATCCAAAGGTTGATGAATGGATAAACAAAATTCTGGCGCATGGGTGAACCTTGGGACATTATGCTAAGGGAAACAAGTGAATCACAAAAAAGACAAATACCGTATGATTCCACTGTGGGCGAATGAAAGGGATTCTATGGAAAGTAACTTCCCATGGTGATCTGACCACACATCCCTAACTGGGCAGGTCATGGTGGAGAGTGGCTTCCCGGGTCTATGACTTCTTTAGTGAAAGGTTTTATGCCAGTCCTGTCCAGTGTTGTGGTGCATCTAAGCAGTTTTAATCCTCAAGAGAACACCTCCTCCTGTTAACTTTCCTTAGCCCAATCCCCATCTGGCTTCCTTCAGTCTTCCTTTGCCCCCCTACCCCCTGCCCTCCTCCACCACCTTCGTTTCAAATGCACAAAAGAGCCTGCAAAAACTGTTACACTCAGGAACATTTGAGATCTTGCGTCAGTTTGGCTCAAATAAATTCTTATAGGAATTCTCTACATATTTAGACATTTCTGACATCACCACCACTCAGATGAAATCCCTCAGACCAAATTCCATGTTGCGTGGATCTTGCCACAATTTAAAACACACACAGAGTGGACCTTGTGCTGCCCTGTCCCTGGGCTGGCCCCAGCTCAGTGGTGAGCCAGCTCTGCAAGGATGTGTCCCGGCAGGAAAGGATTGACCAGGCTGTGGTGTGTCAACGGGGGGAGGAGCACACAGGAGAAATGAAACTTACCCAGGCCTTGGTGGGGTGGGACCAATAGGTCCGCTGGCAATGGACTTAAACTGGCAAAGAGCCAGTGCCAAGCTGACTAGAAGCTGAGCAGCAGACCTTTGTGATGAGCTAATGACAAAATCCTACCCTGGCACTTAGAGACAAACTGAGCAAGGTTTTCAGAGGGCAGGTATCTGGCCTGGGGTTAGGCAACAGGTCAGTCCAAGAGCCAGGACCTGGAAGGCAGTCCCTCTGACTCCAGAGCATCGCTGGCTTCATTGCCCCTTCTCTGGTGATCTGGGTGTAGTAGAGCTTCCCACCAGGGACATGTGCCTCAGTGCTCACAGCTGAGAAAGCTAAGCTGAGCAGTGATGGTGGGGTGAGGCCTCAGTGCCCAGGGACCAGTTACCTGCAGTGCTGGCGAAATTGCTTTTTTTGTCTTTGGACTGCTCTTTGGAATTATTCCATGGCCACATTGGGGGACCTGATGGGGGTCCTGGTGGTGGCACCCCAGGAGTAGAACCAGCAGAGGATGGCTGGGAGGGTTCTTCCTCCTCTGGAAGAGAAGCAGAAAAAGAGCAAACAGAAGGCGGCAGATGTGGGACCAAAGGCTGCTGCCCCAGGCCCCCGAGGAGGGCTTGAGGCCCATAGACAGCACACAGCACCCTCCACCATTTCCCAACAACTCTGACTGGGGAGGGGTCGTCTGTGGCAACTGTGCTGGTAGGTGATGGGAATCCTTGGAGATGAGCCCAAGGAGGAGCCAGTGGGAGACCTGGCTGGCAACTGAGAACTGGCAGGTCCCTTACTTCACAGAGGGACAGGCTGGGGCCCAGGAGGGAAAAGACTTGCTCACACCCCCTCTGCTCTGAGCCGTGGGTCACCTCACCCTCCAAAGTCCTCTCTAGGGCCCTCATCATCTGACTGGGACTCCTGAAGGAGGGTGTCAGCTGTAAACCCTTCTCCGGCCTCGATGGCTTTATCTGACATCTTGGTTGCAGTGTGGGGAACACAAGGTGCACAGCCTGTTGTCACACAGAAACAGAGTGTGAGACCCCAAGTGCTGTGCCCGACTTGTATGGACGGGGTTGTGGGTATGGGCACCTCTCTATTGCCCAGAGCCCTGCCCTCTGTCCTATAGCAGTCTATGGGCCACTTCCAGCACCTCCCCCAAATCTGCACAGACCCCAGCTTTTTAAGGTAAATGCCTTTGCCTGGCTCCCTGATCTCCAGGGTTCTATTCATCGTTGTCCACTAACCACTGCCCCCCTACCCAGTCGAATTCCTAGAGCTTGAGAGTAACCTGGATGGGAACAAGACAGGTTGCTCCCAAAGTTTCAGGGTAAATATGGGCTCAAACCCCTTCCCAGCACAGTCACCTCTGAGCACAGTCAGAGCAGCCCTGGATGGCAGCAAAGAGGGAAGCTGTGAGGAGAGTCCTGTTGCTCCCTCCCCTTCCCCACTTCCCAGACCCTGCCTACCTTGGGAAGCAATTGCCTGAGAAGGCAGAGCTGGGGTGGAAGTCCTGTGAGTACTGAGGCTTTTGAGGACTCTCACAGGCTAAATAGAAATAGCTCCTTCTTGGAAGATTTACAACCTCATGTGACAAAGGAACCAGATGACTCATTTTCATTCTAGGCTTAGAGCCAGTTAGACCTAACCTTTGCCTTGATTTGGGGAGTGTGGGCTGGTGCTCAGGATAATCTAACTCCAACACACCACAATGCCCCAGGCCTGATAAGCAGCTTCTCCAATCACCTAGTGGTGGCTGCCTGGATTTGCAGGGCAACTGGAGAAAGTCTGTCTTAAGTCAGATGCAATGACCATAAACTAAAGCAAATTTGGAACCTTCCCTGGAAGCGAGGGAGCCAATATAATCAATTTTCACTGGTTGAGAATGCTGTTGAGCGGCCCGGACGCCTTGGTAGTTGTAGGATACTCAACCCAGGCTCTCCATTCTCACACTGCACAGGCGGCAGCGAATCAAATGGCGGCGTTTTCAACGGGGGCGGGACTTCCTGCAGCAGAGGTTCCCAAGTGCGTGAGTGTAAGCTCCGCCCCGGAACTGCGGACGGCGCGTGGCGTCAGTTGGAGCGGTGGGCCCGGTGGCGCCTGCCTGACAGATCCGCGCGGCGCCTGAGAGAACAGCGCGGGGTGTCCACACGGTGCGTGTCGGCGGGAGAGGAGCCGGGGGTGCGCTCCCAGGCGCCCGCCGCGGGCCTTTCCGGGTCGCGATTCCTGAGTGCTGAGAGGGCGGCCACCGGCCCAGCCAAGCAGCCTGCGGATCCCGTCAGCACCCCTCCTGTAGGTACCCCTTCCGTGGGCGTCAGGGCCGCGGTCCGTGCGTGAGGCCAGGCCCGAGCGCGGGTCAGGGGGCCGGGCACCGCGAGGAGGGGCCCCGCTTGCTTTGCAGGCCGCGGTCTGCGCGCCCCTGTGCGTGAGCACCACCCGCGCCTGGTGAGCATCCCCCGCGCCTGGTGAGCATCCCCCGCGCCTCCTGCGCACCCCCCGCACCTGGCGAGCACCCCCCGCGCCTCCTCAGCACCCCCCGCGCCTCCTCAGCACCCCCCCCCCCGCGCCTCGTGAACACCCCCCGCGCCTCGTGAGCACCCCCCGCGCCTCCTGAGCATCCCCCGCGCCTGGCGAGCACCCCCCCGCGCCTCCGGAGCACCCCCCGCGCCTCCGGAGCACCCCCCGCGCCTTCGGAGCATCCCCCGCGCCTCGGGGTCCCTGAGCTCGGGGGTGGGAGCCCGGAGATCAGTGGAGGTGGGCGAGCCTTCCTGAGGGCTGGTGCGCTGGCCTTGGGAGCCGCCATGCTGAGCGGTTTTTGATGTGCGTCACCTTTTTGTAGTCGCGTTTTGAGGACCCAGTGGAACAAATAGCCACATCACCCCTGTTTTTCCTGATAGGGAAACTGAGCCGCCCAGAGACATGTCCAACACAGACTCTGCTGGCGAGTGGTGGTCGGGCTTTGTCTTTTTTACAGGATATTTTTCTTAGCCTTTCTGAAAATGGAAAGCATGGGTGGACTTGCGCTCAAACTAGACATGCTTAAATGGTTCTTAAATCCCTTCATGGGTATCCTTCTCAGGGAGTGCATAACCTGGATGCTTTTGAGCATCTGGCAAAGGCCAGAATGGGAAACAGGCATTTATTTGCCCTCTTTGGGCAAGACTTGAAAAGGAAGAAAGGCGTGCACTTAAAAAAAAAAGTGTGTGTGTGTGAATGTGTGTATATATGTATATATCTTTATTGATTTCAGAGAGGAAGGGCGAGGGAAAGAGAGAGAAACATCAGTGATGAGAGAGAATCATTGATTGGCAGCCTCCTGCAGGCCCCTACTGGGGATCAAGCCTGCAACCTAAGCAGGAGCCCTTGACCAGATGGAACCTGGGACCCTTCGGTCTGCAGGCCAATGCTCTAGCCACTGAGCCAAACCAGGTAGAGCAAAGCTATGCACTTTTATTAAAGCTGGCCCCTTCAGGAGTCCCCTTCATCCCTCCCTTAAAAAAAAAAAAGGAAACAATTTTATTCTGCCTTCAAAATGGCTTGCGTGTTGCTGACTTCATCTTCCATTTTATGACTTGAACATGATTAGGCTCTTTGTCCCTTTAAAAAGATGAGAGTAGCCGACACTGGTTTGGCTCAGTGGATAGAGCATTGGCCTGCGTACTGAAAGGTCCCAGGTTTGATTCCGGTCAAGGGTATGTACCTTAGTTCCGGGCACATCCCCAGCAGGGGGTGTGCAGGAGGCAGCTGATTGATATTTCTCTCTCATCGATGTTTCTCTATAAATAAAATATATTAAAATAAATAAATAAATAAAATATATTAAAAAAAAGGATGGGAGCACAGGTTCAGAGAGGATTAAGCAGGGCTTTCTTTCCAAGGGCTCACAAGCAGTAAGTATTGGATCTGGGGTACTTTGCTCCATCTTCTGTATTCCCTCTGTTGCAGCCAGGAGGCCTGCTTTGTGGGTGTATTTCTTTCCTTCCTTGGTCTCTAGCTGGGAGCGTCAGTGTAGAGACACCTTTGTGCCCTCACTTCTTTGCAGGGCCTGGCATTCTATAGGCTGCTTCGAAAACATCTGTTGCCTCAGAAGCCATGCGTCTCAGTTGCCAAACGTCATGGAACATTTCTCTCTCCTTTTCAGCCACCATGAAGTTGAAGGACACAAAATCAAAGCCAAAGTCACCAAGCTATGGCAAGTTTCAGAAGAAGGGAATCAAGGTTGTGGGAAAATGGAAGCAGGTGAAGATTGACCCAAACATGTTTGCAGATGGACAGATGGATGACCTGGTATGCTTTGAGGAACTGACAGATTACCGGTTGGTCTCCCCTGCCAAGAATCCCTCCAGTCTCTTCTCAAAGGACTCCAAGAAGAGGAAGGCCCAAGCTGTTCCCGAAGGAGAGGAGGAAGGAGAGTGTAGCTCTGCAAAGAAAAAGATGAAGTTGAAGAAGCGCAAAGATGTGGCCCAGCCCGAGTGTGAGGTCGAAGAGGCTGGGCCAGAGCCTCAGGGAGATGGCGCAGTTGGCCCTGATCCAGAGGGAGGGGAGATGGCATCAGGAAGCCCGGCCCTGGCAGTTCCAAAAAAGAAGAAAAAGAAAGAGAAGAGAAAATTGGAGCTTTCCCAGGGAACTACTCCAAAGGGGCCCAAAAAAGCCAAGACCTGGCTGCCTGAAGTGCATGACCAGAATGCAGATGTGTCAGCTTGGAAGGATCTGTTTGTACCCAAGCCAGTTCTCCGTGCACTCAGCTCTCTAGGCTTCTCTGCACCCACACCAATCCAAGCTCTGACTTTGGCTCCTGCCATCCGTGATAGACTGGACATCCTTGGGGCTGCCGAGACAGGTAAGGGCACCTTATCTGGCCTGAGCCTTGGTTGCTAAGGCTGGGTGACTGGGAGGAGGGGATATTGGGAACATAACCATGAAAGCATGGTTAAATGAAGGTGTTTAGGACAGATTCCTTCGGGGCACAAGCTGGGGCCTGGTGGCTGGGATCTGTAAGCAGCCTCTAGTTCCACAGTCCTCTGCTCTGTCCTCCACACACTGTGGGGACACCCTGCCAGGCACGCCGCTCAGATAGAAGAGGGTATCTTGCCGAGACCAGTTTGGCTCAATGGATAGAGCATCGGCTTGGAAACTGAAGGGACCCGGGTTCGATTCCAGTCAAGGGCATGTACCTTGGTTGCGGGCATATCCCCAGTGGGGGGTGTGCAAGAGGCAGCTGGTTGATGACTCTCATCGATGTTTCTTGCTTTCCATCTCTCTCCCTTCCTCTCTGTACAAAATCAATAAAATATATTTAAAAAAAAAAGAAAAAAAAAGAAGAGGGTATAAAAAAAAATAAAAATAAGTCAGCCAGCTCTGAGTTGTAATCTGCGTGTTCCTGATCAGTACCCTAGGCAAGTCACCCTATCTCCTGAGCAGTATATGCCCATTATAAAATAGAGACAACAGCAGCCTATTTCTTTAGTGTGTGGGTTAAATGTAAATGCCACAATAAAGTAAAATTGAAGTCATTGTAAGTGATCTGCAAGTGGTGGTTTTTTCCTGTTCTTGAGGCTTTTCTAAGTGGCTCAGAGTAGGGCTAAGATCAGCCCTCTGGAGAGGTAGATCTTCATTAGTGTAAGGAAGAGGTGTCCAGTTCTCAATTGTCCAAAGAGAAAAAGTGTTGCTTTGGGAGTTGGTGAGTTGTCACTGGAAGGTTCTGAGTGTGGTGGATGATTAGTAGGTGGATTTTGTAGGTAGATTTGGCATGAGCTGCCTGTTGGGACTAGACATTGTTTAAAGTTTCTGCATTCCCCAAGTCACCTAAGACTGTGAAGCAATGACAGGTTAACTTTCCCTGGGTGGACTAAACTGAGTGAGGGGCTGAAACTGGTTTGGCTCAGTGGATAGAGCATCAACCTGCGGACTGAAAGGTCCCGTGTTCGATTCCAGTCAAGGGCTGTACCATGGTTGCGGGCATATCCCCAGTAGGGGGTATGCAAGAGGCAGCTGATTGATGATTCTCTCTCATCGATGTTTCTAACTCTCTATTCCTCTCTCTTCTTCCCTGTAAAAAATCAACAAAATATATATTTAAAAAAATAAAAAAATAAATAAAAACAAACTGAGTGAGGGGAGGAACTTATATTGCCTGGAACTGTTAGTCCAACTAGACCATTGGTAACATACATGTGTGTGCACGTCGCTTCACAATTGAGCTATCAACTATTAAAGTGTGAATACATTTTTTGAGGACACCCTCTATATGCATATGTATGTATGAATGTGTGTATATATATATATATATATATATATATACACTAGAGGTTTGATGCATGAAATTCATGCAAGGGGCTTGGCCTTCAAAGCCACGGCTTTGTCCAGAAGGTCATCCAACTGTCTGGTCTAATTAGCATATTATGCTATTATTATTATTATTATTATACTAGTGGTCCGCTGTATGAAATTCATGCAGGGGGAGGTGTCCCTCAGCCCAGCCTGCACCCTCTCCAATCTGGGACATTCCTCTCCAAATCCAGGACCCAGTGGCTCCTAACCATTCACCTTCCTGCTTGTCTGATTGCCCCTCACCACTGCCTGCCGGCCTGATCTCCCCCAACTGCCC